TATACAAAAATACTTACTAATAGACTTAACAATATATTTTCACAATATTCTATACTATCACCCTTTAACTATATTGCCTTATCTGGTAACAGTACCTCAATTCTTATTCACATTCTTAACAACTTTATAGAAGATGCAACATATAATCATAAAGAAATATGGCTATTATCTCAAGATATAAGTAAAGCCTATGATTTTGTCAACCTCAATCTTCTAGAACAATCTTTATTCTGTCTTTCTGTACCCACTTCAATTATTAATACCATACAGGATCTCTTCACTAATCATCATAACATCACGAAAATTTGCAAGGGGATTAGCATCGATTTTTAATAGTTATTAAATAAGTATCGATTTAAATCCCCCTCACCGATTTCTATTGATTTAGATAGAAATCGATAGTAATCCTGCCGATTTCTATCGATTTAGATAGAAATCGATAGTAATCCTGCCTATTCTATCAAGTTAGATAAATCCTAATTTGTATCAATTAATGTATAATGATTTTAATCAAATTTTTCTAATTGTACCAATATCAATATTATTATACTATACACTTATTATTCATATCTAGTAAATCAATACTAATAAATCAAATATTTACTTTTTACTATATAAATAATGTTTATTGCAATAGAATTTATTAATTGAAAATTAAAAAATACAAATCGCTAAATTATATATAATGAACATAACTAATTAAAAATTAAAAAATACAAATCGCTGAATTACATGCAACGAACATAACTAATTAAAACTAAATTAATCACGCATAATGGTCAAGACCAAACAATTCATCCATATCTTCTTGCAAAAGAAGAGCCCTAGAACTACCCTAAGAAGGAGTATTAGATTCTAATTTGGGAGTATTTGTCTATGATTCAGAGCGATGCTAAACCTCTGCTTCATCCATAATCATTTCTGGTGAATTATAAGAGGGTCTATCGTTATTAAAATCATTCTATATTTATTAAAATATTAGTATTGTACAATAATCTTATAATAAAGAAAAATATTAAATACATACAAGATAATTTTTAATATAATGTTTCATATTTTTCTCGTCACATATAATGCTTTTAGATTTTGGATGCAAGAATATGTTATACACTGTGAGTGCAAAGGCGCAATGTTCATTCGTTAGATTAGGAACTATAACTTCCAAAAATGCAAACCTTGCTATTATAGAGATCCAGAACACACCATCATCATTTTGTTCAAATAATAAACAATGACAATTGTTTATTTTTAGATTTTTCTTCCATTTTACAATTGCAGAGGCCTTGGTGTTACTTTTCAAGAGAGGTAACTGTTCTGATCCAAAAACTTTCCACATTGTCGACCTAACACTCTGCACCACTGAACCTCTATAATTCTTTATTTTTTAGAGAAGCTATTAAAATAACAAATTTATATAGTTAAAATATTTAAAACAGTAATAATATAATGCAAAGATCACAAATATTAGAATAATATTATAAGCAATTGATAACAATAACAAATTAAAAAAAATTACTATCGATTAATAATATACTGCACTACACTTTTCACCGTGAAAATGATTTATAAATTGGTTAGAAGTCAGACTACGCAAGAACTCAGGGAACTAATCCTCAAGGTAGCTCTTTATAGCTTCTTTCAGGACATTTTGGTCTAGATAAATATGAAATAGAAATAAACA